ACAAAGTGAAACCCTGACTTTAAAAAAAAAAAAAAGAGGCCGGGCGCGGTGGCTCACGCCTGTAATCCCAGCACTTTGGGAGGCCGAGGCGGGTGGATCACGAGGTCAAGAGATCGAGACCATCCTGGTCAACATGGTGAAACCCCGTCTCTACTAAAAATACAAAAAATTCGCTGGGCATGGTGGCACATGCCTGTAGTCCCAGCTGCTCGGGAGGCTGAGGCAGGAGAATTGCCTGAACCCGGGAGGCGGAGGTTGCAGTGAGCCGAGATCGCGCCATTGCACTCCAGCCTGGGTAACAAGAGTGAAACTCTGTCTCAAAAAAAAAAAAAATAAATAAATAAAAAATAAAAATAAGGCTGGGTGTGGTGGCTCACATCTGTAATCCCAGCACTTTGGGAGGCTGAGGCGGGAGGGTCACCTGAGGTCAGTCAGGAGTTTGAGACCAGCTTGGCCAACATGATGAAACCCTGTCTCTACAGAAAATACAAAAATTAGCCAGGCGCTGTTGTGGGTGCCTGTAATCCCAGCTACTTGGGAGGCTGAGGCAGGGAATCACTTGAACCCGGGAGAGACAGAAGTTGCAGTGAGCTGACATTGCGCCACTGCACTCCACTCCAGCCTGGGTGACACAGTGAGACTCCATATCAAAAAATAATAATAAAGTAAAATAAAAATAATAGTGGCCGGGCGCGGTGGCTCACGCCTGTAATCCCAGCACGTTGGGAGGCCGAGGCGGGTGGATCACGAGGTCAAGAGATCAAGACCATCCTGGTCAACATGGTGAAACCCCGTATCTACTAAAAATACAAAAAATTAGCTGGGCATGGTGGCGCGTGCCTGTAGTCACAGCTACTCGGGAGGCTGAGGCAGGAGAATTGCCTGAACCCAGGAGGCGGAGGTTGCGGTGAGCCAAGATCGTGCCATTGTACTCCAGCCTGGGTAACAAGAGCGAAACTCCATCTAAAATAATAATAATAATAATAATAATAATAGTAATAAAATAATAAATAACTAAAGCAATCTAGCCCTACTCCCCTCAACACCTTCTCCATATGACTTGCTTCAGATGCAGGCAGTGTCTGGGTTCCTGAGAGGCCAGGGAGGAGGCCCAGCTCCAGTTTGGTGGTAGAGCTGCTTATGTAGGAGAGGAGTCAGTTTTTCCTGCCCCTCTCAACATTGTCTGGCTCGCTGAGGAGTAAAAGCATCTGCGTGAGAGAGTCTGTTCAGTAGCTAAATCCTCTGAATACTGTGATGTGGGATTCTTAGCTAAGCCTGGAAGTTTTTCTTTTGCCGGTGAGATAAAAGAGGTGATAGTATCCTTATTTGCCTCCCTGGTGCGTGTAATAATCCTAATTGTAATTAACTGGAGCAGGGATCTGCTGAATTTTCTAGTGAGGTCTGAGACACTATATGTGGGAAAATGTCTGAATTGCATTCCCCTTGAAAGTTCTGAAAAGTGGACTTCTAGGAGCTTTCAATGACTTAGAAGTCTATGGAGTAGAGGGAAAAGGAAAGGATGCACCAAACAGAGAGACTGAGAAAAAGCAATTGACTGTTTAAGATGATTAAGGCTATCACGTGAGTCTCTAAGCAGACCTAAAAGGTAGTGGTCCTGGTTGAATCAGTGACCTTCTGATGAGAGTGCCCTACGAAGGTGTGGCAGGGAATGATTAAAGCTTCCTTCTTCTTATTCCTGTGCAACTCTCAGTTGCGAGTAGAGACAGATCCACGTAGGCAGCCATGCTGGTTCTACTGCTCAGAGGGCACTGCCTAATTTTGGGAGAGAACATAGTGAAAGAGTTGCCACCTTCTTACCAATACCAAGCTCAAGCTCCATCAGGGATATGAAATTCAGGAATGAATTTGCTTGGCAGAGTTGGTAGAAAGAAACAGAAGTAGCCTTTTTTGGTGATCTCCGAGAACAAAGGAGTTCCCCATCCATCTTTCTACAAAACCTTAGTGGTGAGTTCTGGGAGGCAGGGAGCTGGACTATATGATATTGGGCAGTTAAAAGTAACCTTAACATTTCAGAGGTACAAGAAGAGATATTGGAAGGGTGGTGGTGGAAAACAGCCTCCCAGAGTGACTGAAGAATCTATAGGCCTCCTTATTGCCCCTACCCAAAGTATATGCATCTAGGGTCACCAGGGTTGAAGGTGATGTCACTAATATTTGGAAATTACTTGATTCCAGCTCTACAAAATGTTTCCTCTTGCTCATGCTCTTGAGTGTGTCTTAGACTCACTATTAGCATTTTTGTGAAGAGGGCTCTTAGTCCTTTGTTAGCTATAGTCAGATTCTGGAGCCAGGTTCATTTGATGAAATTTCCCCCGTTCTGTACTGATTCCAGTGAGGCTCTGAAGAATTGCTCTTGGAGAGCAGTGGCTTTGGTCAGCAGCGTTCTCTCACCGAATGTCCTTCCAACAGTCCCTCCAGAGGAGGTGTTCTTTGTTTTGTGATTCCTGTTCCTCCCTGTTCTCTGAAAGGCCTAGATCTGTGAGTCCTAGCCTGATTTCTTTTTGCCTTTTCATAGCCCCTCCAGTTGTTAGAGTGTGTGTACGACAGTGTGGGGAGTGGTATTAGGGTAAAGAAGGCCATCATAAGTATTTTTGGAAGATTCTCAAACAATTGGAACTCTTTGCTTCTCTTATAAAACAGTATAAGTTTTATGTTACACACATACTGGTAAGTAACCTTTTAGGTGATTAGGATTCAACTAGCATTTCCTTTTTTTTTTTTTGAGATGGAGTCTCACTCTGTTGCCCAGGGTGGAGTGCAGTGGTGCGATCTCTGTTCACTGCAACCTCTGTCTCCTGGGTTCAAGTGATTCTCGTGCCTCAACCTCCTGAGTAGCTAGGATTACAGGCGTGTGCCACCACACCCAGCTAATTTTTATATTTTTAGTAGAAACAAAGCCATGGTCACCATGGTGGCCAGGCTTGTCACAGACTCCTGACCTCAAGAGATCCACCCACCTCGGCCTCCCAAAGTGCTGGGATTATAGACATGAGCCACTTTGCCTGGTGCAGTGGCGCAATGTCGGTTCACTGCAGCCTCTGCCTCCTGGGTGCCAGCAGTTCTCCTTCCTCAGCCTCCTGAGTAGCTGGGATTACAAGGCACGCACCACCATACCCAGCTAATGTTTTTATTTTTAGTAGAGACAGGGTTTTGCCATGTCGTCCATGCTGGTCTTGAACTTCTGACCTCAAACTGTTCCGCCTACCTCGGCCTCTCAAGGTGCTGGGATTACAGGCATGAGCTGCCATGCCCAGCCTTAACTAGCATTTGAATACTATTATGTACCAGGAACTGTGCTAGATTCTTTCATACACATGATGGTATTTGTTCCACACAGCAACAATGAGAAGTGTTTTTTCCAAATTTTGCAGTTGAGGATACATGGCTTGCATAAGTTGTAGATTGCTGAAAGGCTGAGTGAGGATCTTGAACCCCAGCCTATTTGCTTTCAAGTCTAGAGCTCTTTCTATTATATGTCAGCAGCCACAGCACTGAAGAAAGAGGGTGTAATGGCATGATGTCAGACAACCAGAGAAATGGCACAGCTTTGGTGGGGTTGATGATGGTTGTTTTGAAGCTACCTTCTTCTGTGTGAAGCCTGGCATGGTATTTCCTGGCCTTTATTTTCTGGGAGCTTTGAGTTTAAAAGGTAAGAAATACCTGTAACTAGAAAAATATATCAAGACTTTAATATTAAATAAAGATGGCTGGGCATGGTGGTTCACACCTGTAATCCTAGTGCTTTGGGAGGCTGAGGCAGGAGAATTGCTTGAGGCCAGGAGTTCAAAGCCAGCTTGGGCAACACAGCAAGACCCCATCTGTAAAAAAAAAAAAAAAAATTTAAATTAGCTGAGCATGGTGGCATACACCTGTAGTCCTAGCTACGAGGGAGGCTGAGGCAAGAGGATGCCTTGAGCCCAGGAGTTCAAGGTTACAGTGAGCTATGATCTCGCCACTGCACTCCAACCTGGGCAACAGAGCAAGACTTGTCTCTAAAAAATAAAAGTGAAGGTGAGATGCACAGGACCTGTGTCTAGAATGTTGTAAGAGTAAGGAAATATAGTGTAAAGAGGGGGAAAAAAGGTTATGGCGGGCATTTAAAGGGAAACAGGAAGAGCAAGAGGATAGACAAGTAATTGAAGAGCTAGGGAACAAGGGAGTAATGCCTGAGTTGCTCCTCAGTCTACCCAAAGAATCTGTAAATCACCGGGCATGATGGCTCATGCCTATAATTCCAACACTTTTGGAGTCTGAGGAGGGAAGGTTGCTTGAGCTTAGTTCAAGACCAGCCTGGGCAACACAGTGAGACCTTGTCTGTAGAGAAAAATTTAAAAAATTAACCAGGCATGGTGGCACATGCCTGTAGTCTGGATATTTGGGAAGCTGAGGTGGCAGGATTGCTTGAGCCCAGAAAATGAAGGCTACAGTGAGTACTAATTGTGCCACTGCACTCCAGCCTGGGCACCAGAGCAAGACCCTGTCTCAAAAATAATAAGATTAAAAATTTTAAAATAATCCACGCGTGGTGATGTGCACCTGTGGTCCCAGCTACTTGGGAGGTGAGGTGAGAGACTTGCTTGAGTTCAGGAGGTCAAGGTTACAATGTGCCAAGATCACGCCACTGTACTCCAGCCTGGGTAATAGAGTAAGACCTTGTCTCAAAAAAAAAAAAAAGAATTTGTAATCTATATAAATACAATATATACAAAACAATATTTCACATATATAAGCTAAGAACAGAGACGAAGCTGAGTAACTAAGTACAGGAGGAATGATGAATAATGTAATCAGAAGTGGAGGTAGTCAGGAAAGCTTCCTGGGAGATGTCTTCTCATGTGATTTTGAAAGAGTCCAGGAAGACAAAAAGAGGAGGTACCTGGGAAGGTGTCATAGCAAAGGGAAGACCTGAGGATGGCACCACTAATCAGTGTGTGTATGTATCTCCCTTTCTGTTCTTTTCTCCCTCCCTCTTCCTGTAGCTTGAAAGCTCGAAGTCTGGCTGTGGCCATGGGAGATACAGTAGTGGAGCCTGCCCCCCTGAAGCCAACTTCTGAGCCCACTTCTGGCCCACCAGGGAATAATGGGGGGTCCCTGCTAAGTGTCATCACGGAGGGGGTCGGGGAACTATCAGTGATTGACCCTGAGGTGGCCCAGAAGGCCTGCCAGGATGTGTTGGAGAAAGTCAAGCTTTTGCATGGAGGCGTGGCAGTCTCTAGCAGAGGTGCCCCACTGGAGTTGGTCAATGGGGATAGTGTGGACAGTGAGATCCGTTGCCTAGATGATCCACCTGCCCAGATCACGGAGGAGGAAGATGAGATGGGAGCCACTGTGGCCTCAGGCACAGCCAAAGGAGCAAGAAGACGGCGGCAGAACAACTCAGCTAGACAGTCTTGGCTGCTGAGGCTGTTTGAGTCAAAACTGTTTGACATCTCCATGGCCATTTCATACCTGTATAACTCCAAGGAGCCTGGAGTACAAGCCTACATTGGCAACCGGCTCTTCTGCTTTCGCAATGAGGATGTGGACTTCTATCTACCCCAGTTGCTTAACATGTACATCCACATGGATGAGGATGTGGGTGATGCCATTAAGCCCTACATAGTCTACCGTTGCCGCCAGAGCATTAACTTTTCCCTCCAGTGTGCCCTGTTGCTCGGGGCCTACTCTTCAGACATGCACATTTCCACTCAGCGACACTCCCGTGGGACCAAGCTACGGAAGCTGATCCTCTCAGATGAGCTGAAGCCAGCTCACAGAAAGAGGGAGCTGCCCTCCTTGAGCCCGGCCCCTGACACAGGGCTGTCTCCCTCTAAAAGGACTCACCAGCGCTCTAAGTCAGATGCCACTGCCAGCATAAGTCTCAGCAGCAACCTGAAACGAACAGCCAGCAACCCTAAAGTGGAGAATGAGGATGAGGTAAAATTCTGGGGAGTGCCAGAGACGAAAGGTGGCAGAGGGCTGCATGGAGACAGGATGCCTCCTATGTACATACAGGGTTACTTCTTTCTGTCCTCCCTCTGTTTCATTTCACTGATAAAAGCATGGAGTATTAGAATGGAAAAAGACCTTAGAATTCATGTATTTCGACCGCCTTATTTTACAAAGGAAGAACTCAGACCCAGAGAGATAAAGTGACTTGCCTCAGGTCATATAGGTCATGGCAAGGCTGATGCTCCCGACTTGGGTTCCAAATAATTTTCATTAAACTGCTCTGGCTGGGCACAGTGGCTCATGCCTGTAATCCCAGCACTTTGGGAGGCTGACGTGGGCAGATCCCTTGAGGTCAGGAGTTTGAGACCAGCCTGGCCAACATGGTAAAACTCTGTCTCTACTAAAAATACAAAAATTAGCCAGGCGTGGTGGCAGGCGCCTGTAATCCCAGATACTCGGGAGGCTAAGACAGGAGAATCACTTGAACCCAGGAGGCGGAGGTTGCAGTGAGCAGAGATTGTGCCACTTTATCTATCCTGGGCGATAGAGTGAGACTTCATCTCAAAAAAATTAAGCTGCACTGCCATTCCATTAATACCTACTGTGTTAATGAGGACTGTGGCAGAAGCCCTCCACACCCTGACCTGAGACCTGAGATGACTACCAGAGCCTCTCAGAGCAGCATCCCTGGGAAAGGAAAAGGTGCTATTGTCTTTGTGTGTGCTGGGGTAGGGGAGATGTTAGATAGAACACCAGCTTCATTCTCCTGGTCACTCCTCCTCATAATCTAATCCCTTTTCTCTGCCCCCTGAAGATCCTGCCTTTTGTTGACATAAGTGTAAGGTTCATTCTCTATCACGGAGGCATCTGCAGAATGCCTTCCTGCCTGCCTTTCCTTGTGGGGAAGAGTGTCTTGCTGGTGTCTTTCCCATACCATCTGGGAGAAGCACAAAGGGAAGAGAAAGCACTCTTAGTATAGAGTAAATCTAGTGCCTGGTCAAGGACCTGGCGGCTGGGAAGAAGAGGAAGCTCCAGCAGCAGTTGTGGTATCATTTAGGATATGGAGCAGGGAGGAGAAGACTGCATGAATAGGTTATACCTACTTTTCACTCCACATCTGGACAGACAGCAGGTAAAGCTGCCCAGTGGACTACCAAGTGTCAGTGACCTGGAGTCCCAGCCAGACAATGGAGCTCCAGTCCTCCCTTCTGACTCACCATTGGCCAGGCTCCCATCCTGGCTGCCAGCCCAGCCTAGAAAACAAGGGAGAAAAAAACTAGGAATTTGCACTTTCTGAAAAATGCTTATAGCTATGGTCCTGGCATCTGCCTCTGTGGGGCACATAACCCACCTACATTTTTGATACAGTGGGACTTTTTTCAAATAGAGGGAGTCAGAATGACTAGAGAAAAAGAAGAGGGAGGGAGGGGAGACTATAAAGCCTGCTCCCCGGAAATTTGGAGTTTTTTTTAGGATAATTTAATAATGGTAAAGCTAAAAGTGCTAACATTTATTCAGCACTTATGTGCCAGGCATCTTATCAAGGACTTTACACGTGATCCTCACTACAATGCCAAGAGACAGCTATAATTTTACCAACAAGGAAACCAAGGCTTAGAAAGATTAGATGATTTGCCCAAGGCCCCTCAACTAGTGAATGTCAGACTCACATCTCCAGCTGGTGCTCATAATCATTCAGCTGAACCGCCTTGGTTATTTCTCAATATCTACTTTCCCAGGCCCCCAGCTATCAGAGGCCATGTGGGGAAGAACGGTCCAGCTATAGCCATCTAAGCTTCCACATCCTTCCACAGGCAAAGCCCAAACTGTTCTCAGAACTAGAATGGTCCACTTTCTTTTCTGGTTGGGCTTGGCAGCAGAGCCCTGGGTCATGAAGGGAAGTTGTTGCAGAACAAGAAGAGTCATCCAGATCCCGGTGGAACATGAAGGATTGGATAGCTGTTTCATCTGGGGTCAAACCTGTAGCAGAGGGTGAGCAGCTGGAAGTGAACTCCTTGGTGCCTCTTGCAGGCTTGGCTTTTCACTGTATCCACTTTGTAGTGCTCATCTTAGGACCAGAAAAGCTGAGGCCTCAGGACGTTTCTTACTCTGTGTTGATCCTTGGTCCCTCTTTGCTTGCATCTAAGTCACACTCCAAGATAAGATTATGGATGGCACTGAGAGCCAGGTATTAGGTGAATACTTACATCATTTCGGGTGGGTTCTGTAGCTGCCATTCTTCCCAACTTGACACCTTGTCTTAGGTCACTAGGTCCAGGAAAGGAAGGAGATGCTATGTTCCCAGGCACTCCTGCGTTATCTGATAATGGCAGAATGAAATACCTGAATTCACTGTGGCTCCTCAGAAAATGGGAGAGCAGGAAAGAGACAGAGAGAAACATGAATACCACTAGGTTTCTAAGCATTAGAGTCTTCAGCACAGGGTTCTCTCCCAACCCTTTTGCTTCCTTCCATCCGTCCTTCCCTCCTTCCTTCCGCCCGCCCTTCCTTCGGTCCTTCCTTCTATCCTTTTTCTTGCGACAGGGTCTTGCTCTGTTACCCAAGCTGGCGTGCAATGGCACAGTCATAACTCCAGCCTTTAACTCCAGGGCTCAAGCAGTCCTCCCACCTTAGCCTCCCAAGTACCTGGGACTACAGCTGTGTACCACCATGCCTGAATAATTTAAAAAATTTTTTTTTGTAGAAATGAGGTTTTACTCTGTTGCCCAAGCTCGGCTCAAACCCCTGGCTTCAAGTGATCCTCTCGCTTCAGCCTCCCAAGTCACTGGGATTATAGGCATGAGTGACTAGACCCAGCCCCTTTGGCATTTTGAGGGTACGTCTGTCAAGGCCTTTGTCCCCTAAACACCAAAGGAATTGGTTTTCCTTTTACTCACCCTTCTTCCCTTTCGTGGAACATTCGTTCACTCAACATGTAGTTATTGACCTTGTACAGTATGCAAAGCCATGTGCTAGAGGCTGTGGAGGATGGGGTTAAAATGTTATCCTTCCCTCTAGGAACATGTAACAATGAAAACCCCAGTATCTAGGGAACTGTTTAGTTTGTGACCCTCTCGAAAAAGTTGTTTTCTAGGCCGGGCACAGTGGCTCACACCTGTAATCCCAGCACTTTTGGAGGCCGAGGCAGGCAGATCACTTGAGGTTGGGAGTTCTAGACCAGCCTACCAACATGGAGAAACCCCATCTCTACTAAAAATACAAAATTAGCAGGCATGGTGGTTCATGCCTGTAATCCCAGCTGCTGGGGAGGCTGAGGCAGGAGACTTGCTTGAACCTGGGAGGCGGAGGTTGCAGTGAGCCAACATCATGCCATTGCTCTCTGGGCAAGAAGAGCGAAACTATGTCTGAAAAAAAAAAAAAAGAAAAAGTTTTCTGCCATAAGCAGGAAGTATACAGCTTACTAAAATGAGGCACCTAATTATCTAAGGCCTCAGCAGGTATAGATACTCTAGGAGAATCTCTAGGTGGACCCTAACACTCTGCTCACAGTGTCTTGCTTTCCTTTTAGGTTCTGAGTTTAATACTATACTCCCACCACGAAGAGAGCAGCTTCCAAGGGTGAGATCGGGCCTCGAAGAAGAGGCTCAGGGGCAGCTTGTACAGTTCTCTTCCTGTCCATGGTCTCCCTGCAGAGCTGTTCTCTGTTCAGCTCTCATGGAGTGTTCTGTTTCTTACTATGAGGAGTCCTTTATACTCTCTCCCACAGTTAGAAGGCTTTGCATGGATTTTTCACATTTTCCATCATTGCTCTCAAAGCCTGACCCTTCAAAGCTCTTTTATCAGCCTAGTCCGGGAACTCTGCTCATGGAGTTTGTCCTCCCATTCTTAACCAAATGCCAAATATTTTGGTATAGAATGGGGAAGCTGAAAGAAGAGAGTGATTTAGGTACCACATCCTACCCCACATAATTACACTCTTAGTAGATTAGCTTTGTCTTTTCAGGACTGGAGCACTTTGAGGGAGTACAACCTTTGTACAGAGAAATCTACCACATGGCATGTCATGCTGGAAGCCCCAGTAGGACTTCCAGCTTGATATGGTGTGATGTCAACTTCTTGCTTCATCCTTACTCCCTGGAGCTGACTCAGTATGAGTGACAAGCCCAGGGAGTAGGAGGAGAGAAGCAGGTCATGATACACCTCCCTTCCCCCAAGGCTGTTAAATGAGTCAGACAGGACCTGTCGGACAGAATCTGCTGGAGCAATGCTCAGGGAGCCAATATCCTCCCTGTTGTTCCTTTTCCAGCCAGCTCACAGGTAGATATTGAACTCTGAACTCCAGCCAGCTCATAGGTAGAATCTGAACACTAAGTCATAATAGGCTCTGGCATCCTCACTGTCTTAATTCTTCCAACACCTTCTATCAAAAATGGAAGAGTTGTTGCCTTAGAGGCATGTTTCCAAGTGTGGCTTCTCCCTCAAAGTGCTCCAGTCCCCAGATATTTCAAGGAAGGACCTGACTATAGGCCTTCCAGCTAGAATAGAACTGAAACCATGGAACTGAGTTCAAGTGGATGCTTGAATATACTCAGCAAATTCCAGAGTAGAAACTCACTGACCACTGCCCTCCTGCCCTGGAAGCTCTTAGGACTTTGTCTCTTAACCCACCCCCAGCATCCCCCCAACCTAGATTTGTGCACACGTGCTGCCCGTTCCTTGCCCTGGGAGACCATGTTGGACAGAACCCAGGATGAGCCCTGTGCTTGCACGTTGCCTCAGAGCTGCTGAGTGAGAGTTTGATGCCGTCTCTTTCCCCTGTTTTGCACATGGACACTCATATGACCCAGGATTGGGGTGATGTTTAGATAAATCCTCTGGGCTGGGACTAGGACAGCTGCTGTTTAGCTAGTCAGCTTTCTAGATTGATACAGCTAGGACCTAACTCCCAACTTATGTCAAAAGTTATAATATATTGAGTGTCATGTGGATAGTGTGACAGGAAGCCTAAGGAGGTTTGGTAGGTGGGAGATTGATTTATCTGTTACTCCCATCAGCATCCAGCCCAGAGATTTGGGGCTCATAGGTCTGGGATGCTCTTTGTCACACAGGTTCAAGGTTGGAATTCGGCTTCCCAGGGTGATAAGGAGGCTAATTAGAGAAGAGGTATTCTTCCTCCCTAAGGTTTCCAAAAAGCTGGAGGAACATGGGGTTTCCAATATGGGAGTCATGCAGCTTCTTAAGTTCAGGCCTGTGGTGAACAAATCCATGGAAAAGGATTTGTTTGAGAGCATGTGAGTGGGTAAAGAAAAAGAGCAGGGAAGCTTGGCAGTGCAGTTACTGCCCTAGGGACCCAGCTTTAGAGCTCTGGCCTAGAAGGAAGATCCATTCAGTAGAGAACAGAGGGGAATAAAGTGAAAAGCAGAGGCTGCTTTGTCTCTTCAGTCCTTCTGACCTTAAAGTCTGAGCTGCCCTTCCAGCATCTCCCACAAGTGGTCAAGCATCTGGGCAAGTAGCATTTCTGAGTTGGCTTTCTTTTATTAAAGCAGAAAGGTAGAGCTTCACTAGAGAAGCAGTTTTGATCCCAGTTGGAGCTAAATTCTTTGCCTTTGTCTCTCTCCCCTCCCTCCCACCCCTTCTTCTCCCTTTGTCCTCTGGCCCTTTCCCAGGAGCTCTCCTCCAGCACCGAGAGTGTTGATAATTCATTCAGTTCCGTAAGTGGGGCCAGGCTGGGACTGGGTGGCAGGCTCCCCCATGGCCGCATTTCCTCTCCGTCCCCAGATCTTCTGAGCCCCCAGGCCAAGGCTGGAGTTAAAATGCCCCTTTTCTTCCTGGGAGATCAGCTCCTCCCTACCAGACCTCCCAGATCTGCTGAAGTCCCCCCTGACCTTTGTGGAGGAAATCCCGAGCCCAGGCCGAGATGAGCTCAGCTTATCCTTCTCTCAGAGACAGCTGGAGCAGAGTGCTGCTCAGCCTCCAGCTCCTGAGGGTCTGGAGCAAACAGCTGGGAGAGAGGTAGAATTCACTCCTGGATTGGAGCCAAGCACTGCCTGGCAGAAACCCCCAGGATCCTGTTTCTCTCACCCAGAACCCTTTCTCCATGGCTTCTGCCATTAGATTATCAAACATTTATTCCGAGTCTTCTAAATGTTAGGCCCTGTGCTGGTGAGCTGACTCCAAAAACAAACAGGGCTTGGCCTGAAGGAAAGTTTTGCCTCCTCACAACTGGTTTTGTTTTTTAACTTTAACCACATTTTTTCCAGGTCCGAGTTCTTCCCTTTTCCCAGCTCACTGCCCAGAATGTTCTTAATCCCCTCTCTTTTCTTGTTCCCTCTGGACTAACACCTGACCCTTTGGTGCCACAGGGTCTTGGACCTTGTTGCTGGGCAAAGACGTGAGAGGAAATGCAGGACCTCTGGGAGTTTGGATGATTTTTTTCACATTTTCTATTTGATTTGTCTACCAAGTCAGTTTTCTATGTTCTGTGCTAATTCCCTTTCAGTCATGATTCCTATCTCCTCCCATGTGGCAGAGCCTCTCTCTTGAGGCCTGGGGTCACATTTCCAACATGTGCATGCAACTTAGGGGCCCCTGACCCAAATGCTGATTTGAGAATGGGAACGAATTCTGCCTTTTCTAATCTGAGATGATTATGAATTGGTTGGGGTGGAAGGGTCCTTGGGACAGAGATCAGTTGCCATCTGAGTGGACTGAGATGAAGGAAGAAGTGAGTCTTCAAATATCCTCTTCTTTTCTTTCTCTATTAGACCCCCCAAGACATTTCCAGGGACCTTAGAAAGCCAATTCCATTGTGTTCCTTTTCTTTATCTCTTTTCAACAATGTTACCTAAAGCATTCCTGAAGGATTCAGACACCCTTTTCATTCCCTGTGTGGCACTCTGAGCCATCTCCCAAGGGGCAGAGGCCAGGATGAGCTCTTCCTTTGAATCCTGGCTGTGTTGCACATGCAGAGGTAGACCTGGTACTCCCCGGTTTTCAAAAGAAGCTCTTCTTTTAGAGTATGAGGGAGCAAGGATAGGAATTCTCAATCAGGAAACTAAGGAAGACACACAGAAAGGGAGAGAAAGGCTTGGAGAGTCAAGTGCTATTTCTACAAGGGGAGGAGAGATTGTTCTTGTCCAGCTGAGGGGAGATGGGATGGGGAGTTGGGTGGCTATCTTGATAAAATGCCCCTTACAGTAGAAGGGCTTAGACTGGGAAGAGAGCCCTTCATGTCTAGCTGATCCTCTTTCCCCCCCTCTACACCTTACTTCCCAGACCACCTTTGCCCTTTCTGAGAATGACTGAATTTCCCAGCACAAGGAGCCAGACTCATAGCAGGGAATTCATATGGGAACCTAGTCACTGAGAGGTAGGGGAAGAGGACCCAAAGAGGAGTCACTAAAAGAGACAGGCCTTTAGGGCCATCATCAAGGGCTAAAAGGAGCTGTTGCTTTCTCCATCCACCTACCTTCTTCTGTCTGCTTTTTCTTTCTCCTTAATGCAAAATCTGCTCATCGCTCATCCTCTTTCCATCCCTTGCATGTGCATTGACGCCTTTAAGAGATTGTGGGGCAGACAGGGCAAGGGACACTGTGGAAATCAACAGAAGTAATTTGAATGACAAGCATCTTCCCTCTTTGGAAGTGAAAATGTTGATGTGGGGCTCCCTTCTCTAGCCTTGCGGGCCTTGACAGAGATGTGCCCCAGGGATCCAGATGGGGAGAGAACCCCGGTCTTGAGAAGGGTGAGATGCCTCAGGTATAAGCAGCTCTTCTCTCTGTGGCCCTGGCCAACCTCTCCAGATGTTGTCCCCTGCTCACTCTGAAGCCTTAGGACAGTCCTTAAGAAATGCAAGTCCAAGAGAAAAGGGCTGCATCCCAGTTACCTGGACTCATGGCCTCCCTTATCCTCAAGGGATAGCCTACAGAGAAGGAGTGTGCTGGCTGCTCTCAATTCAAGCTGTGAAGGGAGGGTGGAAGCTCCTACTAAGACTAAAAAGCAGTTCCTTTCCTAGAGGTCTTCAGACACTGGGGTCCCTGGCCTGCATGGCCAGGAGTGACTGAGTGGGTGGGCCATTATATTCTACGGTTTCTTCACCATCTTTTGTCTTACCCCAAACCCCTGTAGCCTGTTCGACTGGCTCCTGAGAGAGAATTCATCAAGTCCCTGATGGCGATCGGCAAGCGGCTGGCCACGCTCCCCACCAAAGAGCAGAAAACACAGAGGCTGATCTCAGAGCTCTCCCTGCTCAACCATAAGCTCCCTGCCCGAGTCTGGCTGCCCACTGCTGGCTTTGACCACCACGTGGTCCGTGTACCCCACACACAGGCTGTTGTCCTCAACTCCAAGGACAAGGTAGATGGGTTCTGGCCCAAATCCCTACCCTGGACGTGACTCTACACCCATGGTTGTTCAGGGTTTGTGTGTATGCCAGTGATGCCCCCACCAACTTCCTAGACTCCCTTCGTAGTTGATGATGCATATGTCGACCATGACTCTGTCTCAGTGCTATTGCGATTTTGAGAGCCCTCCTGTCTCCCTTCTTTGGCTTTGTTTTTCTGGACCAAAGAAACCTAATCTTTTCAGCTTCCTTCTTGCTGTATCTTAGGATAATTGCTCTTCACCCCACTTTATGATCACCTTGGTAGCTCTTCTCCAGCCCTTCTATAACTCTTGAACTTTCTAGATACAGCAACCATGAGGATAGAGAAATATTTTGTTTCTAAGACCTTTTCTGATCAGAATGAGCAGACAGAAGGAGAGAATGATGCCCAATTTGCTTAACTGAATTTGTGTGCTGACTGGAATGAGTATTCATGGTTCAGATTCTTCCTTCAAAGGAAATATTGAAGTTTGGGATGCTCCTTAGGACAGTGTCCAGCTTTGTCCCAGTCTTTCTGTCTACTGTAGCCCCAGGCCCTGTCTTCAAGACAAGCCCACAGAAGCATCCAGGCCTCCTTTACAAGCTGTAATTGATAGTTTAGAATAGTTTGGCCCAAATGCATCATCTGTACATTTTGGAACTCAGCTGAAACATTTTGAAGACTTGTGCATTCTCTCACCCAAATTCTTGATATAGGTTATCAGAGGACAAATGTCTGCCCTAAATAGGCCCTAAATATATTCATAGTTTCAGGGGACTAATGGATGAAGGTTGGAGCTAGGGCAGCAGGAAGAACCACGCTAACAGAGCTGAGAGTTGGGGGTTAGTGGTGGAAGTAGGTTGCACATACTGTTCTCACTCTTCCCCAGGCTCCCTACCTGATCTATGTGGAAGTCCTTGAATGTGAAAACTTTGACACCACCAGTGTCCCTGCCCGGATCCCCGAGAACAGAATTCGAAGTACAAGATCTGTAGAGAACTTGCCCGAATGTGGTATCACCCATGAGCAGCGAGCCGGCAGCTTCAGCACTGTCCCCAACTATGACAATGATGATGAGGCCTGGTCAGTGGATGACATAGGCGAGCTGCAGGTGGAGGTAAGGGAGCTTCACAGAGGTAATGCTGGGCCACAGCACCTGTTCTCCAGGAGCTTTCAACATACTTGAAACAAGACAGCGTACCCCAAGGTGGGGTGGGGCAAGTACCCAAATGAGTGGTGTGGTTGATGAGGGGTAAGAGGGGGAAGGCTCTGAACAACTCTGGTCCGGAATAGATTCAGTGGATCTCATTCTCCTGGTGAAGGAATTCGGATTTAAATGTAAAGAGGAACTTCTAGGCCAAGGGGAGTGAGGAATATTTAATGAAAATATTTATTGAACACCTGCTATATAAAGTTGTCATAGCATAGCAGAGGATGGTAAGTCATACATAAAATCATTCAAGAAATATTTATTGAGGGCCTTCTATGTGCCAGACCTGAGTGCTGCGTGCAGGTGGACAAGACTTGGCCCCTGCCTGCAAGGAGTTTGTGACCTAACTGGAAAGAGAGCAAGGCCAGTAAGCAAGTAAGCAGTGTGAGCCAGGCCGTGGTGGAGAGGATAGGACATTATAGGAACACCAGACTTGGGGTGGGAATCACAAAAGATTTCCTGGAGGAAGTAATCTCTCAGCTGAGGCTGGAAGCATGGCTAGGAATTAGCTGGACAAAGTATTCTGGATAGAGGGAACAGTATGTGCAAAGGCCAGAAGACAAGAGGGAGCTTGGGCCATTATAGAAACTGAAAAAAACTGTGTCTGACTGAGAAGTGCAGGTGTGGGTAAGAAGTGGTGAGGAATAAGACTGGACACATGGGCACAGACCAGACTGTAGGAAGGACCCTGTAAGCTGGGGAAAGAAACTTGAGAACTTTATTCTGGGGCATGAAGAGCCAGAGGAGAATTTTATGTAGGGCTGTTAACACAGCTGGCCAGGTACGGTGGCTCACGCCTGTAATCCCAGCACTTTGGGAGGCCAAGGTGAGTGGATCACTTGAGATCAGGGGTTCAAGACCAGCCTGGCCAACATGGTAAAACCTTGTCTCTACTAAAAATACGAAAATTATTTTTTTGTATGGTGGTGGTAGGTGCCTGTAATCCCAGCTACCCAGGAGGCTGAGGTAGTAGAATTGCTTGAAACTGGGAGGCAGAGGTTGCAGTGAGCCAAGATCTTGCCATTGCACTTGAGCCTGGGTGATGAGTGAAACTTCATCTCAAAAGAAAAAAACAAAAAAGCCAAGTGTGCTGGCACATGGCTGTCATCCCAGCTCCTCAGGAGGCTGAAGCACAAGAATCGCTTGAACCTGGGAGGTGGAGCCTGCAGGGAGCTGAGATCACAACACTGCACACCAGCCTGGGCGACAGAGTGAGACCCTGACGTAAAAGAAAGCCAGGTTTCACTTCGCCAAAAGACAGGACCTCTGTCTTTGAGCTTACAGTCCAACTGGAGAAATTAGACATAGACATTTAAGAAAAAAACATTAGATACGCAACAAAGCAGTGCATACTAGGTTGCTGATGGAGTTGAGAAGAAATGCTCTGGTATATATAGAGAAGAGACTTGACAGGGGCCTTGGGGTTAGAATATTCTGTAGTTGGAGATGAGAAGATAAGATTGAATGACTTAGATTGAAGAAACTCAGAAGAAGCTAGTCTAAAGAGGGTCTGCTTTGGACCCTAGTGGAGAACGCATCCCTAGCCTTGGGGGACTCTTAGTGCAAGGCTGAAATTTCAGGCTCCTGTGATGGTCATGGCAGTGGTTTGCAAACTTAAGTGCACTGGAAGTCTTCTGGAGAACTTGTTAAAAATTCAGACTTTCAGATCCCATTCCCAGTAATTCTAATGCAGATTGATGGCGGGGCCTGGGAATCTGCATTCTGGGTAATTCAGATACAGGTAGTTCACATGTTGAGAAACGCTGCTCTGGGCAGCCTGGGGTCCAAGTGACCAGCATGGTGTGTAAGCAGAGTTTGGAAGGGAGGGATGAGCATGCTGCAGTGATAGCAAACAAGCAGGAAGGGCAAGAAAGAAAGAAAGACCTGTACTTAGCACTCTGACCAGCACTCCCCTGCCCTCTCCAGCTCCCTGAAGTGCACACCAACAGCTGTGACAACATCTCCCAGTTCTCTGTGGACAGCATCACCAGCCAGGAGAGCAAGGAGCCTGTGTTCATTGCAGCAGGGGACATCCGGTATGGCCAGATCACATTGCCCCTCGTTTTTCCTCCCTCGTTCAGGCACTTCCCGTCTCTCTGTTACCTTCCTATCTGTCTCAGTCATCTATTGTTGGCCTGTGTCTTTCCCTCTTCTATCATTCTGTCCTTGTTCGGGGCCACCAAACTTGAGGCAATGAATGTGTGTGTAGGTTGAAAATTACTTGGGCTACCGAAGAAGGAAATTAAATTTTAAAAGGATTCCAAAGGGGTGAAAGCACCAGAGGAAGGAACTCAAGCAGTGTGTCTCAAAGTAGGGTCTCAAAGTGACGTGTGTCAGAATCCAGGGAGAGGAAGGAGGCCTTGTTGAAAATGCAGATTCTAGAGTCACACCCCATTCTGAATCAGTGTTGGTAGTGGAATATGCAGGGCCTGGTAATCTTAATTTTAACATGATTACAATCACTAAGTCAGCAAAAAGGTGTCACTGGTTCTCTTTCCTTCTGTGAGTCCCTTTCAGCCTGGGTTCCTATCTTCATGTGCCCAGAATCCAGGACACAGTGCAGGAAATGTCAGTGTAGACAGGGCATGAGGTTGGTGGCAGGTCCTCCAAGCAAATGTATTTTCTTCTTGCCAGCCGGCGCCTTTCGGAACAGCTGGCTCACACCCCAACAGCCTTCAAACGAGACCCAGAAGATCCTTCTGCAGTTGCTCTCAAAGAGCCCTGGCAGGAGAAAGTACGGTGAGTTGGGTGGTATGGGTCTCTGAACCCCTCTCAAAGCTCTGAGGCAGTTGCAGTTGCTCACTGCACCAACTTTATTGTCCATCAGCCTCCAAAAAAGTCTGTCAGACTCCCAGGCTGTGTGGGTCGTTGCCCTGTGGGGCATTTGCTTTGGATTTTTGGTGGAAGCCATGTTTCTTGTCCTCACTCTGGCATCAACCTTTGACACCCTTTACTTCTCTCTTCATAGGCGGATCAGAGAGGGCTCCCCCTATGGGCATCTCCCCAATTGGCGGCTCCTGTCGGTCATCGTCAAGTGTGGGGATGACCTTCGGCAAGAGCTGCTGGCCTTTCAGGTGTTGAAGCAACTGCAGGTAAGAGAAGAGAAGGAGAGAGAAGGGGAACTCAGCCCAACACCAGCCCACCTGAGGTGACTACACAGATTATTCTGCTGGGGACCACCTTCCTGCCCAGGTCTAAAAAAAGGCAGAGTAAAGAAAAGCTAGTGCTCCTTTCCCCTGGGAAGCTTAGCCATAGGAACAGCTCCACAGCGGCCTCTTTTGGCCCTTTTGAGACCTGCACCTGCCCTGTTCCAAGTCTGAACTTCAGAGTGCTAGGTTTGCCCTTTAGATCAAAACTTCCAAAATGGCCTGGCGCCCTGGCTCAGGCCTGTAGTCTTAGCTAGTCAGGAGGCTGAGGCGGGAGGGTGGCTTGAGCCCAGGAATTCTAGGCTGTGGTGCGCTATGCCAGTTGGGTGTCTGCACTAAGTTCAGCATCAATATGGTGACCTGGGAACAGAGGACTGCCAGGTTGCCTAAGGGAGGGGTGAACTGGCCCAGGTCGGAAATGGAGCAGGTCAGAACTCCCGTGCTGATCAGTAGCAGGATCCAGACCATGAATAGCCACTGCACTCCAGCTTGGGCAACAGACCCTGTCTCTAAGAAAAATACACATTTGAAGAAAGCATTTCTAACAGAAGTGAGCCAAACAGAAAATTTTGCTGGAACAAAGTTTAGTGACCCACTTTCTCCTAGTGTTAAGACCAATTTATTTGTACAAGGTACTGAGATTATTTTCAAGAAATAGCTGTCAAATCTCAAGGTGAAGATCAAAATGTGAACAGTTTACTAATGCACTACTGAAGTTTAAATCTGTGGCACAATCATTGTAAACATGGGGCTCATTTCTCTAAATTGAGTTCTAATCTGAAATGACTGGAAAACTTCTTTTCCCATTTTTGCCAAACTCAAATATCTGGTTTTTGGTATATATCCATTATTCAAACTTAATGCCTCTAATTTTAATGCCAATACAATTGGTTGTAATCAAATTTTAAAATAATAATTTGGTCCTCCCCCTTTAAAAAAAAATAACATAAAAAACTTCCAAAGTGGTCTGTAGCAGGTGGGTTCTAGTGTGCTGAGGTATTGATCTTCTGATCCCCTTGGGTCGGTCACCTGCAAGCCACTTAATTTGTTTAATACTGTTCGTTATAGCATGTGAATATTTTCATTTTCCAGAGAAATCTTCTCTGGACCTAAATCCTTTTCTTTTCCTTTTTCTTTTTCTTTTCTTTTTTTTTTTTTTTTTTTTTTTTTTTTTTTTTTTTTTTTTTTTTTTTTTTTNTTTCTATCTAGTCTGCTCTTTTGTTTTTTATTTTCTCTTTGCCTCAAGGGTTTTATTAAAGACAGAGCATTATTTTAAAATTTTATTTAATTTTTTTTTTGAGATAGTCTTGCTCTGTTACTCAGGCTGGAGTGCAGTGGTGCAATCTTGGCTCACTGCAACCTCCATCTTCTGGGTTCAAGAAATTCTCCTGCCTTAGCCTCCTGAGTAGCTGGACTTACAGGCATGTACCACCATACCCAGCAAATTTTTGTATTTTTAGTAGAGACAAGGTTTCACCGTGTTTGCCAGGCTGGTCTCGAACTGACCTCAGGTGACTCTCTTGCCTGAGCCTCCCAAAGTGCTGGGATTACAAGCATAAGCCACCACACCAGGCCTCTTTTTTCTTGTTTGAACTTATAGCTCCCATTGTCCCTGCTTGAGAAGGGATAGTGAAGTGTCCTGTTCTCCCTGCCTCTTTTGGACTTTCTGCTTATGTGATACCTTTTCCCACTGAGTGTAGTTTCCTGACTTTGTCAGTCCCTAGACTTCCTTTCGAAACTCCCTGGTCCTCACTGGGTTAAGTGAGTCTTACTCACTTGATAGCTTAGAATCCAGTGCCACCAAGGAGCGAGGCTGGAGAAAAGGGGAAGTTTTAGCCTCCTTCTCTAGTCTGGAGAAAGATAAGAGTCCTATATCCCCCATGTCTCCTCACAGTCCATTTGGGAACAGGAGCGAGTGCCCCTCTGGATCAAGCCATACAAGATCCTTGTGATTTCAGCCGACAGTGGCATGATTGAACCAGTGGTCAATGCCGTGTCCATCCATCAGGTGAAGAAACAGTCACAGCTCTCCTTGCTCGATTACTTCCTACAGGAGCATGGCAGTTATACCACTGAGGCATTCCTCAGTGCCCAGCGCAATTTCGTGCAAAGTTGTGCTGGCTACTGCTTGGTCTGCTACCTGCTGCAAGTCAAGGACAGACACAATGGGAATATCCTTTTGGACACAGAAGGATATTCCCATTGTGTCTGTCCTTGACTTGCAGCAGGTAGCAGACCAAGCAGTAGCCAGCACAACTTTGTGCAAAATTGTGCTGGCTACTGCTTGGTCTGCTACCTGCTGCAAGTCAAGGACAGGTAGGTGACTTCTGCTGCTCATCCTAACCTTTCTCCAGGATTCTCTCTGTCCCTTCATGTGTATCTCAGTTACTAAGATGTGAAAAATGAAACAACATATTTTAAGCAGAGACAGACGTGTTCACATGATATTAAGCCAGGAGGCAGACTGACAAGAACTAGGGTAAAAGGGCAAAGAAATGAAGGATTTACAAGAGGAGTAAGGGTTTGAGTGAGCAGGGTCTTCAAGGACAAGGGAGAATGACGACAGAGGAAGCTACGGGGGAGGCATGCCTGAGCTGGAAGAAATAATTGAATGTGATTAACGCATGGACTGCACTGCATGGCAGGAGAGTAGCAGGTGGGACCCTCAGACAGGTAAACTGAGGCCACTTGAAGAAGGGCCTTCATTGTGAAGCTTAAGTGTTTTATTTTGCAGGCAGAAGAATGGCATAATCCAGTCTGTGTTGAGTGAATGCCCTGCGGCACTGTGGGTAAAGGGGGATGTAACTGGGCGTTTAGCAACAAAGCAGGAGGTGATAGGGCCTGGCACTAAGGGTATTGGTTAGTGACTGAGAGCAGAAAGGAGAAACATGATGGAGGTGAAGTTGAAACTCTCAGCCATGAACTGTCCTCACTTCTTATTCCAGCATGTGATTTCCATAGCCTTTCAGTATCTGTTGTTCTGCCCAGAGCTATCATCTTTTTCAATGTCACATGACCTTGATGAGACCTAACTACCCATGTAGGTGAGGCACAAGATGCCTGCCTTCTAAGAGTGTCTCCCAACAGTGACCCAGGGTCTCTTCCCTGAATGCTCCTGTGAGTTCCATCTCTGCCTTGGCATAGGGCAGCCGTCCTGGGAAGGCAGAAATGCAGTGGCCGGTGCTGCCGGGGCTTCCAGTAACATGGTGGCCCATTACAATCTAGCTAATGATGGCCGGGCAAGGTGGCTCACCCCTGTAATCCCAGCACTTTGGGAGACCAAGGTGGACAGATCACTTGAGGTCAGGAGTTCGACACCAGCCTGGCCAACATGGTGAAACCCCATCTCTACTAAAAATACAAAACAAAAAAAATTAGCTAGGCATGGTGGCAGGCACCTGTAATCCCAGCTACTCAGGAGGCTGAGGCAGGAGTATCACTTAAACCTGGCAGAGGTTGCAGTGAACCAAGATCACGTCATTGGACTCCAGACAGGGTGACAAGAGTCAACTTGTCTCAAACTCAAAAAAAATAAAATTTTATATATATATATAAATTAGCCAGGCATGGTGATACAGACCTGTAATCCCAGCTACTCAAGAGGCCGAGGCAGGAGAATTGCTTGAACCCAGGAGGCAGAGGTTGCAGTGAGCTGAGATTGTGCCACTGTGCTTCAGCCTGGGCAACAAGGAGAGACTCTGTCTCAAAAAGAAGATCTAGTTAACAAGACTGAGGCAGCAGGATTGCTTGAGCCTGGGAGTTTGAGACCATCCTAGACAGCATAGTGAGATCCCATCTATACAAAAAATAAAAATTAGCCAAGCATGGTGGTGCGCAGCTGTGGTCCCAGCTGCTTCGCAGTCTGAGGTGGAAGGATCATTTGAGCAGGAGGTTGAGGGCAAGAGAGCAAAACCCTATCTAAACAAAACAGAATCTAGCTAACGGAGCGGCTTATTAGAAATCTAGCATCTGTTAAGTGCCTGCCATGGCCTGACATTCTTATATTTAAACCAGATGATAACCCTGTCAGACATGTGTTTCCTCATGAGGGAAATAACAGTCAGGTAGCTTCTAGAACCTGTGCGCATTCCACTCTGCCAGCCCTACAAATGAACCCAGCATAGGCCCTGCATTTGAGAGCTGTAAGAGAATGTAATTATTTGCCGGGTGCGGTGGCTCAAGCCTGTAATCCCAGCACTTTGGGAGGCCGAGGCGGGTGGATCACGAGGTCAAGAGATTGAGACCATCCTGGTCAACATGGTGAAACCCCGTCTCTACTAAAAATACAAAAAATTAGCTGGGCATGGTGGCACGTGCCTGTAATCCCAGTTACTCAGGAGGCTGGGGCAGGAGAATTGCCTGAACCCAGGAGGCGGAGGTTGCGGTGAGCCGAGATCGCGCCATTGCACTCCAGCCTGGGTAACAAGGGTGAAACTCTGTCTCAAAAAAAAAAAAAAAAAAAAAAAAGAGAATGTAATTATTTATAAGGAATTTGATTGCAAGCTTCAGACCGTCTCGAAGTGTCAGGATTTTGAACGCAGGGCCCAGGGAGCCTAGAGCTCAGTCTTGGGATTGAGCAAATGGGTGGCAGGGAAGCTGGCACTAGTCAGGCCCCAGGGCTTTCCTTTAGGAAACTAGTATGTTTGAAGGATGAGAGCATCCTCTAATAAAGGAGGGACAGAGGAGGGCAGGTAGCTGATAAGCCGTTCAGAGCATCTCAGAAAAGGAGAGATGCAGTCTAGCCATGAGCGGCATCAACCACTGGAAAGAAGTGCAGCAATGAACAGGCCGACACGGGAGTCAGGTTTTAGACTGTCTTTAACTGCTTCCAAAGTAGTCCAAAGCAGCTTTCCAACTGGGGCTAACTCTGGTAGTGAAAAGAGAGGCTTTGGGACCTTGGCACATAAATCACTTCCTCTCTCAGGGCCTCTGTTTCCTCACCTATAAAATGAGAGGTTGAACCATGACAACTCCTAGAACCATTCTGGCTCACAAGATTGTGCCTGGGTTGCCACATCTTTAGTGTTTTCCCAGAGAGGGAAGAACCCAGGTGGGATCAGGTGGGACTAGGTTCTTCTTTTGTCCCTCCTCTTTTGGCCAAACCAACCCCAGAGAAGGTGGCCCTCAGACAAAGCCTCTGTTGACACTGAGGAGGCCGGTTATGCTGAATAGGCCAGGCCTCACATGCTTAGCATGTTAATTGTTCCTTCTGCTACTGACCATTCATGTGGGAATCACAAAGACCTGGGATTTATCCCCCATTAACTCTTCTACAGCTGCCCTGCAGTACTGCTGCCTCCTGAGACCTTTTACATAAGTGATTTAAAACTTACCCCTTGAAGCCCCCATGCTATTTTACATTTCAGCTCCACTCAGCCTGCTTGCCTCTGTTGTTGCTCCCTTCTGGTGAGGCCTCTGACATGCAGTGGGCTGACAGGAGTTACAAATAACCCACAGGTAAATAGGCTCGGAATGGCGCTTCCCCCTGAGCAGAGCGCTTGGCCTCTGTGACAGCTGGCTGGAGCCTCAGAGGCCCTCTTTCCTTACTGCTGGATTCTCTACTAGAGTGGGATCAGTTTGGGTGCAAGAAGTGCAATTTCTGGGAAATTGGGAGAATCTTAAAACTATTTTTTTTTAATTGTTAATAGCAATTTCGGACCCCATGGCCTTTGTAAGCGGTTTTCTTTTCTGATTTCCTTTCCATTGATAGCTTTAGGTCCTAGGAGATTGGACAGGAGACTGGAGTTACGGGCAGCAGGAAACAGCAGGGGACCCCCCTGCGTGGTGTCACGTGGCCAGTGTATTGCTGCTTGAGGTTCCAGCCTCAGTCAGACTGACTACTGCCTCTTCCTCTCCTCCACTCCCCCTCCTCAGACACAATGGGAATATCCTTTTGGACACAGAAGGCCACATCATCCACATCGACTTTGGCTTCATCCTGTCCAGCTCACCCCGAAATCTGGGCTTTGAGACGTCAGCCTTGAAGCTGACCACAGAGTTTGTGGATGTGAGTCAAGAAGGAGAGGTGCCTCTGGGGTCACTGTATTCTTTCTGTGTCATGGGATGAGGAGCTGATGGGCTCCCTGCAAATTAGGGATGAACAGAACAGGCAGTAAATGGGTGAGGCCAGAGTTCCTGGGAGCTTCCTGCCTGATAGGAAGTGGGGAAATAACAGGGCCCGAGTTCTGGTAGGCCAGTCGGGACAGGAACCATCCCCAGTGTAAGTCCCCTTGTGCACACAACGCTCTCCTCTCTTCCCAGGTGATGGGCGGCCTGGATGGCGACATGTTCAACTACTATAAGATGCTGATGGTGCAGGGGCTAATTGCTGCTTGGAAACACATGGACAAGGTAGTGCAGATCGTGGAGATCATGCAGCAAGGTGGGGCTGGGGTGAGGTCCGGTGCCATAGTGCCTCAGGCTGCCCATGTAGGTCGGCGCCCTGGAGCATAAAAAAGCTGATCCCACCTACTCGGGTTGAAGGAGGGAGGAGGGTTCCCCAGAGGGTTTCTGGCGCAGGTCCAGTGCCTTGTTGTCCTTTAGGATATTCGTCTTGACCCTGGTAGAGCTAAGTCCAGGGGGTGAGGGGAGCGGACAGCAGCACCTGCCTCTTCCTCATCTTTAGGGAGAAAACAGGCCCATTTACAGCCTCCTGGTCCCTCCTCACCTCCCCCCACCCCCATCCAGCTGTTTCTCAGTCTCCTTTCATCTCTCTTCCCCATTCCGCTATGACCTCCGATTGCCCTGTCCTCCGCCACGCTTCAACTCTAAGAAGTATTTCCCCTCTCATCTTTATCTCCTTCCACTACAGTTTTGCCATCTACAGTCTTTTGCCCAGGACCCCCTTCTGTCCTCATCCCCCTCCTCAGGGCTCCAGTTGTACCCCAGGTCTGAGCTGCCAGTCTCCCCTCCTCCCCGTCCCTGCCCCTACCCCACAGGTTGTCGCCGTTGCTCAGGATCATCCCCATCTGGCCCCATGATGACGGTGGCCCAGGTCATCTGTGAGTGTCAGACGTAGCGTAGGCAGAGGCCTGCAACCAGATAAGTGCCCAACTCAGGGCCCACTCCCTCCAGCCTCCTCCCAGCCTGCCCTCTGGGCCCCTCCGCCCTTACTGAGAGGGAGACATGGTGTTGGTCCTCTTCCCTCCTCTGCCCACATGCCTTCACCTACAGAGGGGCTTAGGTGTGGGATGACAAGGGGCTCCTGCTGGTTCCTTCTCTCTACCCAAGCAGAAGTGCACCCACACCATCAGGGACCTGAGGTGGGAGGGAAAAGGCATTTCAGATGCCCTGGCTCTGTATTTGCTGTGGCTGGCACCACTGCCCCTCCCTCCTGTCCATGACCCTGAACCCCCACTGCTTCCCCCAGGTTCTCAGCTTCCTTGCTTCCATGGTTCCAGCACCATTCGAAACCTCAAAGAGAGGTTCCACATGAGCATGACTGAGGAGCAGCTGCAGCTGCTGGTGGAGCAGATGGTGGATGGCAGTATGCGCTCTAACACCACCAAACTCTATGACGGCTTCCAGTACCTCACCAACGGCATCATGTGACACGCTCCTCAGGCCGGGAGTGGTGGGGGGTCCAGGGCACCCTCCCTAGAGGGCCCTTTTTCTGAGAAACCCCAAACCAGGAAACCCCACCTACCCAACCATCCACCCAAGGGAAATGGAAGGCAAGAAACCTGAAGGATCATGTGGTAACTGCGAGAGCTTGCCAGGGGGTAGGAGAGCCAGTTGTGGGGTCCAGACTTGCTGGGGCTTCCCTGCCCCCCTGCTCTGTGTCAGTGTTACCACCGGACAGACTCCAGGACTCACTGCCCTCCAGAGAACAGAGGCGATGAACATGAGGGACGCTGGGGCCTTTCTTCTCCTTGTAGGGGTCTGAAGGGCTCTTTCCACAGGCCATCTTTATTCCGTTCTGGGGCCCAGGAAGCAGGGAAGAGTAGGTTCTCGGTACTTAGGACTTGATCCTGTGGTTGGCCACTGGCCATGCTGCTGCCCAGCTCTACCCCTCCCAGGGACCGACCCCTGGCCCAAGCTCCCCTTGCTGGGCGCTGCGTGGGCCCTGCACTTGCTGAGGTTCCCCGTCATGGACAAGGAAGGGAATTCCCACAGCCCTCCAGTGTACTGAGGGTACTGGCCTAGCCACGGGGAATTCCCTACCCTGACTCCTTCCCTAAACCCAGGGAAAAGAGCTCTCAATTTTTTATTTTTTATTTTTGTTTGAAATAAAGTCCTTAGTTAGCCACTTGTGTTATTTCCAGGTGTTTTGGGGGAGTGTGTGGGGGGGAGGGAGATGGGTGATGAGGTGTGAACGGATGCCTCAGTGTCCAAGATGCAGAAGGTACCACACAGAAAGGTTTGCTTTTTCCCTGCCTGTCTTGGTCACCACCACCTTTTCTCTGAGAAGGAAAGGCCTCCCATGTTCTGACTCTCACCCACTTCCTGTCAAGTCCACACTGTCCAAATCACAGAGAGAGGCCTGAATGGAGATGAGACCACAAGCAGTTTAATGGTCTGGTTTTCTCCCTAGTTCCCCCACTGTTAGTATTATTACTACAAGAATAAAGGATTCCTGAGAGCCTGTCCTCTCCTCTCCTCTGGCCCCCTTGACAGGACTCATCCCCACCAACCCCCCCTTGGATTTCTGGGGAAAAAAAAAAGAAGTGAAAGGCACTGCAGGGGTGGGGGGCTTGAGTGCCAGCGAGTTGGTGGGGAGGGGGCACTAGGGCAGGGCCTGGCCCAGAGGAGGAAAGTTCCAGTCCGTGCCTGAAGGAATCGTGAAGGGGTGTGTCCCTCCAAGACACACCCATCAATCCTTCCCCAAACCTGTCTAGCAGGCACACCTAAGTCCCATCCTCCCACCCTAGGCCCACACTGGGGGTTCTGCAGCAGGAGCATAATTAGTGTTGGGCTCAGAAAGGAGGGTCCACGCTACTAGGACTCCAGGGCCAAACCCAAAGGGAGGCTGCAAGTAACTAGAATAATCCTCAAAAGCTTTTCTTCAGGTTGGAGAGAAATTAACAAAATGTGAATGTTAATGAAACTCCCCAGCCCAGGGACCAGGCAGCAGCAGGGAAAGCCAGGCTCCAAGAGGTCAGTCCCAGGCTTGGGCCTAGTTGTCCCCGACAGCCCCCTGCCGAGCCCTGATGAATGCCATGCCATGCGTGCGGAAGTGGGTCTTGAGGTTGAGAGGGCTGTCGCAGCTTTTGCCACAGACCTTACAGGTCAGTGGGCCTCCAGAAGCCGGCAGGGGTGAGTCTCCACCATCGGGGTCAGACCTTGATGGAGGGGCCTCTTCCTCCCCATCACCCAGCCCCAGGGCACTGGCTTTACCCACACCCCGTCTCTTCTTGTGGCTGATGAAACGGTGCCGGTTCAGGGAGCCAGGGGAGGCAAAGCACAAGCCACAGTCGAGGCACTGCTGGGCGCCACCCTCCACCCTCAACCCCACCAGGAGGCTCTGTTCCATGGAGCCACTGCTCCGGTAGCGCAGGGCGCCATGGCCTCCAGATCCAGGTCCGCCCCTGGGGGACTTGGCTGGCGGTGTCGTGCTGTCAGGCTCCTCACTGCAAGAGTCTGAAGACTGGCGGCGTTTCCGACCTGGCCCCTGAAGAAAAGTAGAAGAAATGGCCTCACCACACCCCCCACTGCCCCTGGCACCCCTCCCTCACTTCCTGCGGCCAGGACTCTACCTTCCAGTTTCCTACTCAAAGCCCTAACACAGCAGGCCGGGCCTCTGCCTACCTGGGCTCTGGCACTGGGACCCCGAGCCAGGGTGCTCCCCCGGCCAGGGGACTGGGCCCCAGGTGGCAAGCCGTGCCGGACCTGAACATGTTTCTCCAGGATCAGGCGGCTGCTGAAGGTGCGTTTTCCCTCTGTGCAATACCTGAAATGGGAGAGGGCAGGATGGCAGCAAGGGCACAGCCCGAAGGCCAGGGCCCTCGCTCCTGAGGAGGGGCTGCTGGAGCAGAGGGAGACCTGGTCAGGCCACTGAGACCAACTGTCGGCTCGAAGGTACTCTGGCATATGCAGAGGGTCATGTGCTGGGCAGGAGGAGGAAGTGGGGAGTGGCAGTTACCTGCAGGGGTAAACTCGCTTGATGCCCTCGTGATTGACCCTGACATGGCGCCTCAGGCTGGGGGCAGAGCAGAAGGAGCGCTCACACAGACGGCAGGGAAACTTTTTCACTGACTAGGAGAGCAGGGATAGATGTCAGAGCCAGGCTCCAGGACCCAGTCCCCACTGTCACACCGGCAGTCTCAGTGCCACCCCCAGCCCATGGTACTCTCCTCGGGGCCCACTCACCTTGCCATGCTCCTTCTTCATGTGGCTCACATACTCGTCACGCTCAGGGAACCAGGAGTGACACAGGCCACATGTCCAGCCTCCAGGCCCCCCACCCCCACCCTTGAGGCCTTTGCTCCCTAGTTCCCGCCGGGGCCGTTTGGCTGGACGGGGGAGCTCAGGGGAGCTGGGTACTTCCTCCTCTTCTGAAGATGTAGATGACTCCTCAGTAGCAGGGGCTGCCCCTCCCTGAGAAACAGCCAGCTCCTCGGGCTCAGTCTTGGGGGTCAGCAGGGCACCCCCGGCCCCTTTCCCAGCAGTCTCCTCCAAGCGCCCAGACTGATGGGTGTTCTGTGAGAGGAGACAAGGGAGGTGGCTGTTGTGGGGAAGGGCCTGGCTGTGCCAAAGCCCCCCACTTAAACTTACGTGGCCCCAGCCCCATGTCCGTACAGCTAAGCACGCATTCCCCACTGCTCTGCTCCTGTACCTTGAGATGTTCCAGCATGGTCCTTTTTTGGGCAAAGAGCAGAGGACAAGACGGGCACTTAAAGACACTGACACGCTGGGGCAGCAGGTGCTGGTCGAAGTGTGAGGAGAGGAGGGGTTTGTGAGTGAAGACTGTGTCACACATGGCGCACTTGTAGATCAGCCTGAGGTGAGGACAGTGCAAACATCAGGCAGGGATGGGTGCAGCCCCTCCCCTCTGCCCCCCGGCCCTCCCTCCCTATCCCGTCCCATCCCGTCCCTCCCTAGGCCTCACTTGGCCTGCTGTGTTTGGAAGCTGGGATGCTGGGAGTACAGATGGGCGTGGGCGCTGGGCCCAGACTTGAAGGCCATGGGGCAGATGGGGCACTTGTGGAAAACCTCGCAGTGCGACGTCTGGATGTGGGACTTGATGGAGTTCACACCCCCAAACACAACTGAACAGCTGGGGCACCTGGGGAGGAAGCAGGAGGCCCTGTGGTAATGAGGGAGGCATCTCCATGCCCACCCCAGCACCCCACACTTTTTCTCCGGGACTAGGTAGACTCCAGAAATCAGCAGTGGAACATGAGCAGGGTGGAGAACGGGGGGAGGTGCAGAGGCCGTTCCCCAAGGGAGGCTGCGGAGGCAGAGCTGAAGCTCCAGAGGTGGCCCTCCTTCCCCCATCTCCATTAGGGAGGTCAGGAAGGCAAGACGTACTATCTCAGGGATGAGTTCGCCAAAACAATAGGGCTGAGGGATACAGCAGGGGAGATGGGGGATCTTGAAAGGCCATCTAAGGCTGAGGCTAGGACACATGAAACCCTACACTCTGGAGGAAGGGTCCAAGGCACCTGTATCCTACACGGCGAGAGACATGCAGACAGGCCTCCCGGAGATGGGTCTGAAAATTGGCTTGCAGGAAGTTGCCCCCACACTCAGGACAGACGTGGGGGGGTCGATTCTTATGCATGCGCTGGTGGGCACTGAAGCTGCAGCGATTGGGGAGCATCATGGGGCAGGTTGGGCACACCTGTCGAGTGGGTTAAACAGGTAAGTCGGTGAGGAGTAGCCTGTCCCCATTACTTCTCCAAGCCCCCAATGCCTTCCCAGATCCTGTCCCCACAGGACTGTGAAAGGTGACTCACATTGCTGGTGGCCCCAGGGGCGGGGGGCCCGAGCTGCTGGAAGTGAGCTGCCATGCCAGCCTTGTCCCGGCACTGCTCCTTGCACTCCAGGCAGCGAAAGCACGTGTAAGCAGAGGTGGCAGGGGCAGCAGGCGGCTCTGTGGAGAGCGGCAGGACAGGGGCCTCAGCAGCAACTGTAGTAATGGCAGAGGAGGTGATGGCCCCCTCACCCTTGCCCAAGGCAGGCAAGGCCAGAGGTCCAGAGACAGTTGGGACAGCTACAGGCAGCAGGGGTGTGATGTCTGGCTGCCCCACCATCTGGTCAAGGGCTACAGGCCTCATGACCAAATGTGAGCACTGCATGACAAGCCCCTTGTCCTTGTGTTCACGTGCGTGCAGGAGCAGGCTGCACTTGTTGAAGAAGACCAGGCGGCGGGCGCAGTGGTTGCAGGTGACCTCGATACGCATGCTCCGGCGGTCATAGTGCCGTGCCAGGCTCTTCTCCAGCGAGAAGGCATCCCCACACTCCAGGCAGCGGTAGCCCGTGGGAGGCAGGGCCAGCCCAGCCTCAGCTGGTGGGCTCAGGTTTGGCCTATAGGCAGGGAGCAGGTTCTTACTGTTGAGGATCTTGTTGAAGGCCTCCACCAGGCTGGACTGGGTCCGTGAGATCACTGTGCCGCCCCCTGCACTTGGCCCAGTGGCTGTCTTTGAAGGCTGCACCATCACCACCGAGGCACCATTCACCTTCTGTCCCCCAGTCCCCAGCCCTGCCCGCCCCTCTGCCTTAGGCAGGGCTTGGGGCACCAGACCCAGCACATTCTTTGCAATCATCTTAGGGCTGCTGCCAGCCCCAGGCAGCACCACAGCCTTGCGGGCCACACTGGCTGCCATCAGCATGGCAGTACTGGCGTTTTGGATGGTGGCCACAGGCAGCACAGTGCCTTTCAGCCTTGTACCATCACCCAGCTGGACACTCACTACCTTTGGACCCTCAGGGGTCGGTGTTACAGGGGACAGCTTCAAGAGGCTAGCCTCGGCCAAGAAGGCCCCCTCGGCCAAGGGAGCAGGTGGATCAGGATCTGAGGGGACCCGAGTGACAGTCCTTGTGATATTCCCACAGGATGTTTTGATGGTCTTGATCCGCACCTTAAGAGGCCTAGAGGAGCTGGAAGAGGCAGGAGAGTCGTTGCTGTCCTCATCTGCAGCCTCGGCCCCACTAGAGGGACTCTGGGGACTTCCTGGGGAAGACTTGTCCACTGGCCCCTCATCATCTTCTTCCTTCAAGAGCTGACAGACGGGCACTTTTGGGGAGGCAAGAGGGCTCTGGTGCCCTGGAGACTGCTTGAAGAAGGGCACCCCAGCAACTCGGGGA